AGTGTATCGACCCTGTCGAGTTGGACGTGAGACAGCCGGCGGCGCTCTGTGGGCGCCGACCGGTGGCCAACTGGTCAAGGACGGATGGTGTCGCCCATCATCGACGCACGCCGTAGTGAAGGTCGGGGTCCATCCCGCCCACCGGGTTTCCGAAACAGCGTCGAATACAAATGCCGCCAACTGGCAGTTTTTTGTGCCCCTTCCGACAAGAGGACGAGGCGTAGAACAAATGGCGAATGTTCCGAATGGTCTAATTATACTTGTGGGTACATTATGCCAAAGCCGAAATGCCCTTTCGATGCATGTTCGACCCACCGCAGCGACCGACGGGTACTGGCGAGATAAAATACTCTCAGTCGCTACCAAGTGTCGACAATTGTGTGAAGACAGCTCAGCTGATCACACACCCAGTTTTGTAAACAAGTGGATTTCAAGGACGACGTCTGGTATCATGCAGTGAGACACACGATTGCTCTGGAAGGTAGATTCATATAAACTAAAGCAAGGAAATGCTCGATAGTGCAGGTAAGAAAGCAACAAATTCTAAATCAAAGCCTAGCACCAAATTTAAACAAGTTATGTTAGGCCTGACATTCACGCTACTACAGCGTCGCACAATAGTCGCCCACAGCCGTCGGCCACGACACCGTTGGCCTGATCATGTCATGCAACGATTCACTGGGACGCCAGCGCTGCCGCCAGCAGCAGGTGAAAGGGGAAGGGGACGACCCAAAGCAAATATCGAGGACATTCCGTGCGTGTGTGACTTCAAGCGTCTGCGTTTTCTCAGCAAGCTGCACTGATTATCGCAATGAGCATTGAGATTTGGTTCAATGACTGGCTGCGACGCATACCGTACGCATTTAATTCTGAAGAAAACAAATCATCAATTGTATTTGCATTAACGCTATTTGAAAACTGGTGCCATTGATTTGCCAATTAACCTAAATTTTATCTATCATTGAATTCCCTCTCTCCCATTTTGTCTTGTTTGACCCTGAACATGAGCAATATATTAACATTGTAAACTAATGTGCCTGCTTCAAACGCTGCCTAGTTACGTGATGATCACGTGCACATGCACACGCGGTTATGTATTTTATATTCAACGTATGACACTGGGGTTATTTCGATTGCATCATGACCCCTGAGTGCTAAGATGGCCAATGCGGTCGCCTGCGCTCCACAAAAGGGAGCGCAGGGACGACTTGCACACCGTTTCATAAGAAAAGAACAACATAAAACACTGAGGATGCTAAGCAGCCCACATTATGTTCAACGGCCTCGTTTCGCCGTCAATCAACTCGTCTAAAGCTGCCGGTACCAGATATTTCGCATAGTACCAAACTGACAACATATCTTGCAAGCTTTGCGACTCTAGCAGCATTGTAAGTGTTGCATGGCAGGAATAAAGGCAGATTCTCTCCCGGACACCCCCCCCCCCCCCCCCGCTTCAGAGCGCGCCGTTCTCACCCTCCCCCTGACGCTTGTCAGCTCTTGAATGCCATATATCCCGGTGACGTCAGTTCGCTGAGCGATCGATCCCAGTGGCATTAGTCCTGCTGGTGATCTGTTCTACTCCGCGCCTCCCAGGGAGCTGGCACTTGGACGGCAAGGACCTGCAGATCTGTCACTTTGACACCAGCTCTCCGCGTTCCTTTACCACGGGGCCGTCAACTTGATCAAGCTCCTGCTGTGATGACGGCTTCACGAGGGAGCTGATGCTGTGACGTCAGCTCAGTCCAGGAGCTGCTGCGTGACAGCAGCTCCACGAGCGTGCTGGGGCTGCGGCGTCAGTTTCGTGGAAGATCTGATGGCACGTTGATAGCACCGTGAGGGGCAGATGCCGCGTAAACAGCTCTGTGAGGAATCCGCTGTCGAGATAACTCCATAAGAGGTGTATGCCATGACGACCGTTCCGCGAAGAGGCTACGGCCATGGCGACCGCTCCCATGGCAATGACCCTGCAAGAGAGTTACTGCCGTGACGGCAGCTTTGCGAGGGAGGCGCTGCTGTGGCGGCAGCTTCGCGAGGGAGGCGCTACCGTGACGGCAGCTTCGCGAGGGAGGCGCTACCGTGACGGCAGCTTCGCGAGGGAGGCGCTGCCGTGGCGGCAGCTTCGCGAGGGAGGCGCTGCCATGATGGCAGCTTTGCAAGAGAGTTGCTGACGTGACGGCAGCTTCGCGAGAGAGGCGCTACCGTGACGGCAGCTTCGCGAGGGAGGCGCTGCCGTGATGGCAGCTTCGCGAGGGAGGCATTGCCGTAATGGCAGCTTCGTGAAGCAGCTGACGCCGTGATGGCCCTCCCCTCCCCCGCCCGCTGAGCCCAGGCACGGTTCCTTGCTTGCTGAGGGCTGGGTGTGCTGAGTACTGCACGGTCACTGCAACGCCGTGGTGTCCTGGAAGGCCAGCCGTGGCGCCGGCTCCGTCGTCGCTGTCGAACGATAGCAGACATGGTTGCCGTTGACCGACCGCCTTTCATAGCCCAGTCGATGCCACCGCTATTTACGGTAATATGACAGCATAAGTCATTGAGCAGCGGCACAACGTGGCATTAAGGGCCGCCAGCGTGTGAACCAAGAAAATAAATATGTCCAGCAGCGCGGGGCAAGGCGGTTTCATAGCAGTCGTTTTCGTTGAAGGCTGCCGAAATCTCCTACACTCCTTTGTAAAATATATATTTGTCATGTTGAAATGTCCATTATAAGGTGTTGTAATTCATCAAATAAAGAAGGGGTGCCGGTGGTGTAGTGGTTAACGCGTCTGCGCTAACCGCTGCACGTCTGGGAAATCAGAGGTACGGGGTCCAATTCCCCGCGGTGCCCGACCCTTCTGCCAGGGTGACAGGCAGGCGACGCCATATAGCATCAGCAGCTGGGCGCGTCGCAAAGCCCCAATACCACACTTGACACACGGTCCCATGAAGAATGCACCGTGCATCCAATAATCACTGAAAGACATCATGGGTTAAGTTGGAGAGGAGCACGGGGCCCAGTTAAAGTATGTTGCATGCCAAACGCGATTGGTAATATCAGGTCCCTATGATATGCGGTCGAGTAACATTCGTTTCCTGCTTTGTTACAGTGGACGTATGTTCCCCCACTTTCGTCAACTGTTTCTGGATTTTGCCTAGAGAGGTCACGATTTCAACGTACTAAGTGGTGTTTCACGTTTGTGAGAACCCCACGTTCATTTGTCGCAGCATGCGATGTAATTTTTGCCACTCGTCAATAATTCGGCGGACGTCCAATCATGTACCTACGCTTCTGGAACGATGACTGTAGTCTGGATGAACAGCTGAGGGTTCAGACATGCAACGTACAATCTTAGAAGCAATGCAACCGAAGATCGGTCATACAGCCCGCACACGACGCTTGGATCGGTGGGCAAGTGGACCGTTGGACCACTAGGCCAGTGGACCAGTAACCAAGAGAATTTGTTCGCAAGGAAGCCCGGGGACCAGTGAACTGGTGGTCCAGCGGGTGGTGACCCAGAAGGCAGATAATTTTGTTCCAGCTTAGTTTAGTTGGTTAGGGCGCCTTCCTCCCAACCTTCCCGTAACGGGGGAATGGGGTCGAGTCGCTTCGACGCGCGTTACTTGCCCCTGGCGGGTGGTCTGTGGCCAGTGATAGCGGCCGTTCAAGGTTACCTGAGGTCAGAAGGCGGCGAGCATTGCGGCACGTTAAACATTCGCCGCAATATTCCACCCGTGAACTGGAACTTCACGACCGAATGATGGGGTCAAGATTTACACAACAAACCTTCTCATCGTGAACTCAGATCCCAGGAATCCATCCAATCAAAATGATCGAACTAACTTTATTTGTTTAAATCCTTGGACCAGTGAACCGTCGCAGCAGTGGATCGCTGGACGAGTGGACTAAGGTAGACCCACCAGTGGAGCGGGAGACACAGTCGGTTTGACCCCGCGGCCAGAAACGGGCGAGCTTTGTGTGACGGTGGCGGAGCGGGCGAGCTTCGTGTGGTGGTGGCGGAGGGGGCGAGCTTTGTGTGATGGTGGCGGAGCGGGCGAGCTTTGTGTGACGGTGGCGGAGCGGGCGAGCTTTGTGTGGTGGTGGCGGAGGGGGCGAGCTTTGTGTGACGGTGGCGGAGGGGGCGAGCTTTGTGTGACGGTGGCGGAGCGGGCGAGCTTTGTGTGGTGGTGGCGGAGGGGGCGAGCTTTGTGTGATGGTGGCGGAGCGGGCGAGCTTTGTGTGGTGGTGGCGGAGGGGGCGAGCTTTGTGTGACGGTGGCGGAGCGGGCGAGCTTTGTGTGACGGTGGCGGAGCGGGCGAGCTTTGTGTGATGGTGGCGGAGCGGGCGAGCTTTGTGTGACGGTGGCGGAGCGGGCGAGCCTTGTGTGATGGTGGCGGAGCGGGCGAGCTTTGTGTGACGGTGGCGGAGCGGGCGAGCTTTGTGTGACGGTGGCGGAGCGGGCGAGCTTTGTGTGACGGTGGCGGAGCGGGCGAGCTTTGTGTGACGGTGGCGGACATGGCGCTGGCACCATGCATGACGCTCAATGCCATGCAGCCGATCGATCAAGACTTGCCTTGCTAAGTGTTCCGCGGCCCCGCCAGCATCGACGCCGCCGCCCATTTCGAAGCCGCATGTTTGCTCGCAGCGTGGACCAAAGAAGGCAGTGGAGCATGCATTTGGCTCAATGCTTACAGGAATTGTGTGTTATTCCGTCCGGTGGTCATCATACAGAACCGGAAATTGGTCTCGAAATGGCAAATGAAAAAAACAAAAAACCGTTAAGAATAACAATAAAAAGCAGACATGTGCTTTCATGTTAAAAAGGATTTGCACTATTATCCGTCGCATGACTCACGCGCAGGGACGGATGGCGACCTGTTGGACACCAGGCAGCGCCTCTACCGCGGAATCCGCAGTGAGTCACGCTCCAGATAGGGTAGAGCCTGAGATGGCCCCACCTCCGGTACAAAGTGGGCGGGAGCGACGGCGGCCGCTGGGGGAGGGAGGGAGGGGCGCCCGGACTCACCGGCTGCAGAGCACCAGCGCGAACGCCACCACCGCCGGCCAGCGCATGGTGTCGACTGGCGAGCGCCGACGGCCGGCGCCCCGCCGCCGTCGACGTCGACGCAGCGCCGCGGCCCGAGCGTCGAGCAGCGCCCGGCCGCACCATTAGCCCCGGCGGGGAGGGGCGGGGCGCAGGACCCGGCTGACGATGACGGCTCAGCTACAGAGCGACCGGGTCTCATTGCGCCGCTCCCAGACGGCCGCTCGGCCGCGAAGGGCAGCTCCTCGGGGAGACTGCTGACGCGTAATGAGCTGGGCGGGAGCAGTGGTCGCAATGGACTGGGAGACCTGAAAACAAGGCGCTCGTAACCGACACGGAGTACGGTCGCAGAGGTCACGAACGAGGCGAAGCGTGATGCGGGTCCTGCAGGCTGCCGTAACACTCGTGCTAGCTCTCATACGCCTGCCTTCAGGCAAAACGTAGTGTGACGTCATTAGCTGGAGCTGCTTATGACACGGCTTGCCATTGGTGCCAACAACCAACGCTGTAGTCCGGCGCTATCTTTAAATGACCGATACCACACCTGCCACTGCCAAGCTCAAACGCACTACGTACATCTGTACAAAGTGCACTTGCCTTGGGAGCAGACCCAGGATGATTGATAAAGGACTTTTTCTGAGCAGTATCACAGTACGCCGAAAATGTTGTTAAAGCTGTTTTATGTCTCAGCAAAATCCGCCAACTATACCTCAAGCCAACAAATACTACTTAGGGATGTTATCACAACGTAACGGCAACGGCTTGATCCTAGATCTTATCCGGCCATCGAAATTAGAACATTTTCATATCAAGTCAGTCATTTCCATGCATTAAACGTCGCGGAAATGACGCGTAAATTATTGCAAGGGCGACCCATTTCGATATTCAGATAGCCTATAGTGCACGGCTTATGGCCACCGGGCGCCGCATTTGCGCTGCTTCTTTTGAGATTTCAAGTAAATGCTCCATTATTATGCGACGATCTGCGTGGCATAATGATGGAGAATATATATATATATATATATATATATATATACATATATATATATATATATATATATATATATATATATATATATATATGAGCATGTAGGTGAGCCAGAGGGGTTTATCACAACTTATTTGATGTGATAATCTGTTTAAGTTATCCTCAATACTTGAGGCGTCTGAAATATGACATAGGTTTCTTTTTATGAGAATAAATACACACATTTGTATGCAGCATATCGTGTTCATATTCACTCCCCTATTTACTCACCTTGGACCTTGCATGGTCAAAGCTGCTGAAGAGAGCATTGATTTAAAAACAGGCTCAATATGGAATATGACAACCTTTGATGTTAAGCCTGTTTTTAATCACAAAATTTGCCTTGCATCACTGGAATGCCTCTTCTGTAGAGCGGCCATGATGTCATGGGTTCACCACAGGAAGCATGTACACCAAAGGCACTCTTGCTCCATCTCAGTCACGGTCACGGGGGCACCGTTTCATAGCGTGATCGAGTTCTTTTCTTTACAGCGTCAAATGTGCTTCCAGCTGCTTTATGTAATGAGCATTTACCCTCCGTTGCAGAGATAATTCAGCTCAAATCAGCATCATCGTCTCACGTTCGTTTGGTACCACAAATGGCTCCTGGCGAAACTCTTTAGGTAGGTATGGCTTCATCTTGCAAGCCTTTATACGACATAAAACAAAATGAACAGCCATTATCGAGAAGATCTCGAATGGGAGATCACCGGCCTATCTCCAGACCAGGAAAGAAAGGTCGATTAAGTGTCATCCCTCCGCATCAGAATCCGGATCAGCCGCCTGTAACTGAATCTGAATCAGCCCCCATATCCATGTACTCTCTCACCCATATGTATTCGTTACTGACAGGCACAGGCGTTATCTGGGGATACAAACATTCACGAAAAGCATTCTCAAAGCTGAAATATGTGGAGATAACCAGACGGCGAACCAACGGTCGGGATCTGTCTTTTGCAATGAGATCGTCCGACACATGCAGCGGCTGTTTTCGATGCATTATGGGCACCTCCTAATGGACCTTTTAACAGAATAGGCCATACAAATTACTTCGGTTGACTAGCAACAAGATCAGAGGCGGTGATGGATGATGATATCATCGTAAGTATGAACGCAAGCGAGACCGCTTATTGTCTCGCGCTGACATGTGTAACCTCATTCCATCAACATTCCGCTCACTGCTGCTGGAGGGCTCTTTATTTGTCCGAAAATGCTTTTTAAATGTGAACTGCTTTTGCCAACATCTTTCTTAGCACTGTAGATCGTCTCATCCCCATTACATATATCAGGTTCGGAAAGCGGACAAAATCATCTATATCACAAGACCAATGTAACTGTAGCTCCGTGCTCTAATGACTGCAGTCCCAAGTGGAATCGCACAGCCAACAGGGTCGTGCGCTCCCCAGTTGGCACCAACGTTAAGCTGCACATTGACAAGGCCTAAATTCACACAGACTGCGGTTTTTGTGGCAGAATGTGAGTGGTGCGATATCGAACCAACACTTTCATCGCCGAAACAGCTCTGTCCCGGAATGTGGGTAGGCGGGAGGATCTGGTTGAGGAAGAATAAGGGGTGCCTAGGGACTTTGAACCAACATGGACTGCATTATCGATGTCAAGAATAATAAACGAACGATATTTCTACGCTTGGTTTTAGATTCGCCCTACATATTTCGAAAATGCTGAAACGAAACATGTTAGAGTTCCACAATTTTTTTCTTCAAAATCTAAAAACGTTTCAGTGTTGATTTCTTAAACTCACACAGCTTTCGGAGCGATTTTCAGTTATGAACGCCTTGAGGAGATTAAACAAACATGTCTCCCGAGATGTCTATGCTGATAAAATTGTCGCTTGCTGGTAAGAGTTTTCAAAAAGGTTCCGTGGAAAAATGCAACACTTTTATAACTTTTCAGTGCATTAATCATTCGTGGAATGCAATGATCCCATTCAGCATGGCTTTCCACCGGAAGTGATAAGCATTTCTGACCCTATTCTGCCTGCTACAGAGGAAGGCTAATTTATCGGTTTTCATTGGTTCCACTGAGTGTTTCGATGTCATCGATCCCGACGAATTTCTTTCCAATCTGTAGCTCCGTCGCATAGAAACAGCCGATATGGCTTATAAGCTAATAGCGATAATTATGGCACTTTTTACGAACAATGCAATGCGCTTGTTAATACCGAAGTGGTTTTAGGCAAAAAAACACCGTTTTATGTCGAGGCCACCGACCGATGCAGAAACGTACAAGCAAACATATATAAGCATTTCATATACATCCATCAAATGTCGAAAGCGTCAAGCTTTTCACTCACAGCCTTTTGAACCTGTGTTATTTACCCCCTCTTCATCACGCTAGCATCTCGTGAACCGAACCTAACGTCTCCTTTTCCGACACCGATTCCAGTCTCATTTCATACGTTTTGCATCTTAAAAAGTTTGCGCCTGTAGGGATGATCTCCGCCTGTTAGTCGTGTGACGTTAATCCTCGTCAGAAGGGTGGGCCTGACAGGCACCCCCTGTGGTTTTGTTTGAACAACTTGGCAACTATTGCAGTTATCGTGCTCCTTTCTTTGGCAAATGACGTGATGATATTTCCACGCGAATAGTCAACTTTTAGAGCGCTTTTTAATGATAGGTCGTGGCCCATGATTCATTTGTAAAGGTCATGTCAGCTCGGTTTCGGGCCAGGTCAACAATGTAGTTAGCTTATTTGAAAGCGGGATGTTACTTTTTTGTTTGAGTAAATATAATCAAATTCGACGACTGTGATGCCAGGTTTGGCTGCCTATGAAATTCAGTCGGGTAACCAGATGTGAGGCTAGGTCATACATGTCGAATTGTCATTGCATGTGGATTCATGACATCTGCACCTGCAATAACGTTTCATGCTATTCATCACATCAACATCAGTCTCGCAAGCGTCACGCGACCAACTGTAATGCATTTTTGGGGACTAAGGTAACGCTGGCCAAAGAAATATAAAACGGGCTGGCACAGCTAGTCATAGTTTGCGCCCTGGGTGGTGCATATGACTTTATTGCTGATAAGTCGTTATCTTCGAGTGTGCTTTTGTCTACTGGCTTGAAAACAACACTGATCTTCTTAAGGGCAACTAAATTCATACTCCTGACTTATATACTGTCCATACACTGCTCACTAAAAATTTTACCTGACTAAAATAGTAAGTAAAATAAAATAGTATCAACCAACGCAAAACGCGTTTATCCGATGAGCGAAGTACATGGATTATCCATCAAAACATTGTCTACCCATTTTATGTCGATCGCATGATATTATTACTGTTATATCACATATTCATGTAATCATTGTTATATCATATTACATGTCTACTCAATATCTGTTCTTTGGCAATGTGTATTAGGGTGTGTCATCGAGGGGGTGAATCTCTTGGAATCAGCTGAGACAGAGTTTTCCCTTTACACACGGGTTAATGATAAGCATTCAAGTCAGTCGCACCGCACCGATGTTGACATTCGTGAGGCGAAAGCAGTTTTTCTTTGATAGGCCATGAAAACCGCATTCGATACTAGTGCCACCTATTTTACGCACCGGGATCATCCTCCAACAAGCCTCAAAGCTGCCACTTTTCACACTACTGGTACTAGGCAGATTAAGAATGAAATAATATCGTGAATAGCACCAGCAAAACATCGCCAAACAGCTTTCAAGCTAACTTTTTAGTAAAGAAAATTAATTTTCGGTAAAACCCAAAGCTGTGCGGCTGTGAGAATTCCCCAGCGGACCGGGTTAGGCTCAAGTTTGCTGTTGCTAATGCATCATTGTGACCTTGATTTGCAATTTGTGCTTTTCGCGTGGGAGATATGGGCTTATTAGCTTAGCTTTGCCGGTACTGAAACATTTCTTTTGAACAATTACTTACATGAGCATGTCGAAGGCTACACGGTCGCGCACAAAGCATTTTGTGACAGGCCACCCGGCTCTACTGTCCTACCACCAGCTGCCGACTGCGAGAAAGCCTTGAGCTACATCAGGTAACTGAGCGAATCGAAGAGTGATCTCATTAATACCATCTTCAAGACCGCGATGTTAGAAAACAGAGTACTATGGACCAACGAGGCGATCCTTATTCATGATCTAAAATACGTGACAAAATTTATCGACAGGGATTGATATCATCCCGACAGCTATCAACAAGAAATCAAAGAAAGAGAGTGACACAGAAACGCCGCCACCGCGAAATTCAACAAGCTTCTTGATGTCGTGAAATGCCAGTGCAAGCCTCAGTGCAGCCTTCCATGCCCAGTTGCCTGCACAACGTATCAGGAGGAGGTTGCCATGGAGGACCAGTGCAGGCACCAGAAGCTTACCCTGGGGCCATATGATCGGGATACGGCTGTGACTAGGGAGGCCCGCGAGGTGCCGAGGATGGCCAGACAACTCCGGGGGCGTCGTGGCTCGGCCGCCAATGAGGCGGTGTCTGCTGCTGAGCCTGAGTCGCCTTCCCCGCCGATTGCTGACCCCGCGCCGCCTACTGAGCCAGCGATGGCTGCTAGTGTTGACCCCGAGCCTGCTCCGGGACCAAGCGGTCTCAGCGCTGGCGGGGCAGCTGAGAGCACGGATTCATGCATTCATTCACGGTTCCGTACATGGTGGAAGATGGTGACGACGCCGATTGTTCGTTTCGGTTGAGACCACTGCCGCTGTAGATTATAACGTTAACGATATGACTAACACCGCTCTGGCGGTTGACAGCTACGGTGGCTCGAAGCAGGTCGTTGTTGCTATCATCGCCTTTCAACAAGACAGCAGAGATGGACTGGCTACTTGAAACCAAATATCGTAGATCAACACCGAAACGATAGGCGACGTGTTCCGGCTGATTGAGCTGGCCACCGAGTCACCCGTACACTGGCTCATCTGCCAGCTGCGTGGCAACGAGCTAAACCTCCCCCATCTGCTGCTGAGCTTGGACGGCACGACCACGGGATCGAATTTTTTTTTCTAGACACATCGACAAGACCTGTGCTAGAGAGGTCTGGGAGAGGGGCGTTGTGGCACTCACGCCTAGGTCAGGGCGCGTGCCAAACTTGCCAGTCAACCTAATTCAGCAGCTGGGCATCAACCAGCAGCTGCTGTACTTTCTGGCCTCCGGCGTTCAAAACTGCTTTGTCCGAAACGTGGCGGCCCAGCGGGGAATCGGGCCATTGAACCATGTGAGGTAAACATGAAAATGCGCTATCCTCGAGTTTATAGCAATGAGTGTTTAAAGTCCATCAATCACCAATGGATATTTCATGTGCTCACTGTTGAGCATTTACTTATCATCATACATTGTGCCGTCGTATGTCGCATCATTTGCTGGTTGGTTCATGCTGACTAGTATATTTGTTGATGTGTATCCCGTCACATTTGAGGACTCTGGATATCGGCATAGTTACATACACTAAAGAAGCGCAGTAAGTTTTGTATGATCTAATGCTCAGTTCGTAGCGAATTGTTCTAATATATTCGCTTTTGTTTTCCGATAGCGGACACACTTCGCTGGTCTGCTCCTAGTTCACATCTCTACCAAGACTTCCAGCAGCGCTCTCAAGAACCTCGTCCAGTGCGTGGTCGGCCACTATGTGTCGGTATGGTCCGCCATCCGGCAAAACAGCGGCGGCGACTTTGGGTCACGCGACTTGTTCCGGAGCATCGCGCTGCTCCGCGACCTGACGCAGCACACATAGGCCACGGTGCAGCCAGTCCTTCAGCGTAACGTGTACTGGCTCCGTCCGGAACAGCTGCTGCTGAACATGGTGTGGGACAAAACTGCATGGTCCGCGAACAGGCGGTTCCGATCGTCGCGCCGCTCGTTAGATGCAAACTGAGGGTCTTCTTCAGCCCAGGGTCTTCGTCATCTCAGCGATAAACTTCGATGCCGTGAGGTACACCGAACTGATTCCCTGGCACGGACCAGTCACACAGCCCCCACTGCGAAACCTCAGCGACTGCGTGCTGCGGAACAAAGTGCAGGCACCGCTGGCCACCTTGCCCTATCTGGTTTTACGCTATGAGTGCGACGCAGCGCCGCACTGCCGAGGACGTCTGGGGCTGGAGCTGGAGCTTCGACAATATGTGAAGCTCAGCTGCGAAGGTATTTCTGCTACCGTGCGATCTCTGCCAACACGTGTTTTGGGTTTCCAGTCTGTGAGCAGTTGCTGTCTGGGCCGGTGCATCGACTACACAGGCTCGGCGACGAGCAAGATGTGCATGGGGTCATCCTACCGCCCCTCCCCCTCCCCCCCCCCCTCCTTCTACGTCTGTGGTACAGGCTGCAGAACTTACCATATGTATTTGGTTGTACACCAGACAATATATTCTGAGTCATATCCTACACATAGTTTTGTTTGCATCACGTGAGTTGTCTTAGAGAAGTGAAAGTCTAAAGCAATGCTAACCAGCATTTCGTACGAGTTCATACTCAACAGCACATAAAGTTTTCGCCAAAAGACAATCTATTGGGCAATGTCTGTCAAATCAAAATGTCTGATCCGCATAATAGACTTTAGGCCGGGGCAGTCTCGTACGACGGCTTAAGGAGCGCTCGGTAGCATCATTTCTTTACACAAAGGTATTTGGTGTCGCTTGCCGCCCACGGCTTGGTGTTACCTGTGGCGGCGGACGCCGCCCAGCATTGGGTGACTGCAACGCCGGACGTCGGTTTACGTCGGTATTTTGATCGGATCGCGCCTCACGAATTTAAGTCTTTGGGAAGAACGTTTGCCATGCCGTGTACTTTTGGGCTCCAGCGCCATAACAATCATTTGTCTCACTTGGTTTTGTTTCTGATGACACACCTTAATGTAAATCATTGTGATCGCAACCGGGACGGGCGCTAACAGGGAGGGCTGCTGGTCTTGTCATCATCCTCACCAAGTGCCATCGCCGAGTCTTGAATTGTTTGGTTGCGTCCATGAAGGTGCATGAAAAGAATGACCTTAACACGCGCTTTATCTCCTCCAGTCCCGCTCCGGTCTGCCAGTCATCAGCCGGTGGTTTGGCCGCTGTCCCTAGCCCAGCGCCGGGACAGGAGCAAACCTCAGGTCGTCCCGCACGCGGCTCTGACTGGTTGGTGCGGCCGCTGTCCCTCGCCCAGCGCCGGGACAGGAGCAAACCTCAGGCCGCCCCGCACACGGCTCTGACTGGTAGGTGCAGCCGCTGTCCCTCACCCAGCGCCGGGATGGGAGCAAACTTCAAGCCATCCCGCACACGGCTCTGACTGGTAGGTGCGGCCGCTGTCCCTCGCCCAGCGCCGGGACAGGAGCAAACCTCAGGCCGCCCCGCACACGGCTCCGCTCCGACGGTCACCTGACCAGAGTGCACTCCTCTGGCTAGAAGACATCACGTGGTTGGTGGACCATGACCCAGTCTGAGCGATCTGAGGTATTCGGAGCCAGCTGCCCGCCATGGAGCCGCATGTGAGACTCAGATGAACTGCGCCGGTTGAACTACATGTTGATATGGTGAAATGGCCCCGGTGGCCATGAAACTCCGACTGTGTTTCACATGTTAGGTCTGACAATGTTACGGTCTCAACAAGCCAACATTCGCACCTAGCTTTGCTTTAGCTAGTTTTGCTTCTTCAATGAAAAGACATGACCTTCCAAAGTAGTGCACACGCTGAGTTGCGGTTGAATATGACGGGCCGAACTCACCAGAGTAGGACAACATTTATTTCATTTTTCTAAAAGCCGTAAGACGCTTCGATGCTATTTATACAGTGACGCACTTCATACTATAACGTAGAAAAATGATTAGAAGCATACGGAACGTGTTCTTAGTAATTGCATGGTGTTATTATAGCTAAACAACTTGCAGTGAAAAATCTTCGACACACACACGGCAATTTTGCGGAACATTTCGGCACATTTGTGTGATAGCTGAAACAAGATGCCATCGTCAGTCTGAAATTGCTTTGGCAAAAATACGGCATGCGTGTCGCGGAAACAGCGATATGTTTCCTAACTATGTCCGAGTACACCAAATAGTATCGTCTTCGAGGATATGAAATTATTATTACGGGAAGGAAGCGTATTTTGCTACATAGCTTAGATATAACAGAGCATATTCTACAAAAGCACATACATGCAGCAAGCACCACACGTGACAGGTGAAGCAACTATTCTTCCTAATAACTAAACACGTGCACGCTCATTTAAACTAGCGTCGGATTGTACCTGTGAAATTAACTGCAAGGCTAATCTAGTTTGCTCGCGTTTGACGAGCCGCCAGAGGGCTGGCCTGTCAGCCCCGGGGCAGCACACAGGCCGAGTGGCTTGCCGTCTCGCTCTGGTGGCGGTGGCCGTTTGACGACTGTGGATGTCCCGGCTTGTCGGCAATCTTGATCTGTTGACAGCGGTCCGGATCTGCCGACAGCGGCAGCCCGTTCCGCTGGCGGCGGTCCGGATCTGTCGGCGGCGGTTCGGATCTGCCCGGATCTGCTGACAGCTGGTCGCCGGGCGCCGGTAGGTCCGGCTGATCCTACGGACCTACCGCCGGGCGCCGGTAGGTCCGGCTCCGCGGCGGAGACACCTTACGCCTCCTGTGGTGTATTGACTTCCCTTGTCGGCGCGCTCTTGTACTCCTAGAGACAAGGCGCGAGTCAGCCCACGCTGGCACACCTTGCGCGTAGCAAACACTCGAAAAAACGCAACACGCTCCCACACACGGCGGTGATGAAAAACACCCGAGTACTCAGAAATGGCTCCCCTGTCAAAATCACCCATGGAGCACTTTCCCACACCAAAAGTGTCTTTTTTACTCACACGTGGCACAAAGGACACTATCTGTTGGACTATCGTTGCTCACGACCAAGGTGGCCCGCGTGTACCTTGTTGGTCTGCCGTCTCCTGGCCACGATGAAGAAGACGACCAGGCCGAGGATGATGACGGCGATCACGACGCCCACGATGATGGCGATTGTCTGGTTGTTCTCGCCGTCCCGGCGGCTTGGGTCCGTCTGTGGGACCGCCCTCGTCAACATCGCGTCGACAGAGCGGTGCCATCGGTGGCTCACGCGACGCGGCATAACGCCGGGGACTGGTGTCGGCGGTGAGCGTAACCACGTCCGGCTGCTCACTCAGGTGCGCGTGCATCACCACTTGCACGCATCAAACCAAAAGTACAACCCAATACCACGCTAGTTGAACGGCTGCATTGGCCGGCGCCATGCTCCTCCGTCTGACGAGCTGCGGCTACTCACGGCATTGTTGAACTGCACCAGCCACTCGGTGACGGGCTGCAGCTGCTCCACCATGGCCTGGCCGGACAGCTGGGCCTGGCCCGTCAGCTGCATCAGCTGGTCCCCGAACGGCTTCGAGTTTCCCTTCACTAGCACATTCCTGCCGTAGACACAGCACGCCGGCGCTCGTCACGAGGCAGGAGGCGCACGAGGCAGTTACGCCGCTCACTCAAGCACATGGCTTCAGCCGCCGACCAAAACATTACTATCGAAGACGTGTGTGGACACTGTATTGGACGTGCGCGCTGACTCTGTGACGACTGGTTCCGTTCGTGACGTTAGCTGTGAAATGTTTTCCTAAGGGATGTGGCAAGGTCTTGGCACGGTTTTGTAAATCTACTCAGCCGGCAGCATCTTCCGATTCGTTCCCGATCAAGACAGTCCGGAGCCAAGCAACTCGCTAACGGAACATACAAAATTCATACTCGGGACAAGCTCTGAGCATCCAAGTTCACTTTAACGTCCTCGGAGTAAGAATAGCCCAATCCGGCGCTGATGGAGAGCGAACGTTACCACTACGGTCCAGGACGATCCCTCGTGACGCCCCGCGCGTTGAGTCCCCACCGAGTGCACGTCTCTTGGTCTGATCACGAGCCAAGGTCGTGACCTAGGGTGCAGAGAGCGGGCTGCCTGTCTGGCCGCAGTGTCACCAGGAGCACCCACCTGATGTTGACCCCAGCTGCACGTTATCCAGGATGGCGCATTGAGACAGCGGCTCACTCATGTCACACCAGGAGCACCCACCTGATGTTGAACCCCAGCTGCAGGTTATCGAGGATGGCGCACTGGGACAGCGGCTCGCTCACGTCACACCAGGAGCACCCACCTGATGTTGACCCCCAGCTGCAGGTTATCGAGAATGGCGCATTGGGACAGCGGCTCGTTCACGTCACCATACATCCGGCAGTGGTACTTGTGCACGCTGAACATGGCCAGACCGCCGACCAGCCGCCTGCGGCACGGCGAGCCACACCGTCAGCACGATCGGCGCCACCGGACGCTGACCTGCCGCCGGGTCAGGCCGGCGACGGCGAGTCCGCCACCAGCTGCACAGCTCCGCCCGCGGAGACAGCCGTCAGCCAACAGGGAAATGAAAGAAGTGCGAATCGACCGAGCACCGCATACAATAAGTAGGTGAGAAGGTTGACCTAGCTTTGGGTTCGGGCTCTGCCGAGAACCCAATCTCCAACTCCGCGGCCAGCCAACGTCTACAGGGGCGGATCGGGACAAGTTGAGCCGGTGGCACAGTAAGGCGGTGGCCGCGGCAGTCCGCAGTGCGTCGCGACATTGGTGCTACGGCCAGATGTAAGGCCAGCCTCATCATTCACGTCAAAAGAAAATGACCAAGCTCGGTTCCTGTTAAAATCGGGTATGTAGAAATCATCAGCGCGATTAAGCTTCTAGAAAGCGGATTCTGTTAGTCACGAGCCAACTGATAACTTTGCGAGGAATTACATGGATATTTCGCTGGCAATGTTTGTCTGAGTTAATAGGGATGCGAGTCCTCGTTTACCAAACGTTTTGTGTGCATGCTGACCGCTCAACCTAAGTGGTTAGAGGCATGGGATAGTTTTGCTCAAGCTTGCGGTTAAAACGGGCAGTGATATATCTGGAGCACAACATAAGACGTCATGACAGGTTCGTACGCAGCACGCGATTGGCCCGCTCGGAGAGGCTTGGTCGCTCTCCGCGGGGTGCGAACACAGCCAGCTGCCGCTCCCTGCTTACAGGTGCCGCGTCCTGTTCCGCTACACCACCGGCGCCATCAGGTCTGGTAGATTCCCACGAGCATTCCGTGTGACATTATCGAAACAGCCAAACGGATGGGAAGCAAGCTGGCGACATTCAAATGCCATGTCGTGACTGGGTCATGACAAGCATGACAGCTATCGGACTGTGGTCACGGAACTGCGACACCTTGAAGGTAAAAGACACACACATAACACATTCATTGAAGGGAATGTTCCAACTCTGAAGGTACCGAAACAAACATCAGATGTGATGAAACAAGCTCACTTATAACTATTGGTGTGCTTTTAAATAGAAAATAACGCTCAAGACAACACCATTTGTCGATTTAGTAAATATGTTCCTCGATATGTCATTGCTTGATTACGTCATCGTAATTTGCACAACATTGATTGAGAGCCAGTTGACGCCTGTTATACCTGAAAATCCTGCTCACGAACGCCAGGCATCAACGACTCGGCAATCTTTTTTGTCTTGATCGCAACATGACCAATGGGATGTCAGGATTTAAATAACGCTATTTTGGCGTTATGGATGCCTGGGTGACCTGAAACCCTTCTCCCCAAAATGGCCCACACGTCTTCACGGGCGTGTAGTTTGGAAACTAGAAGGTTTTAGGTTTTAAGAAGGGCAGGGAAGTAAACTGTACCGAATGGTTTTCAAGATGGATGTTCCAGTTCAAAACCACATACACATGTGGAACACTGCCTTCAATGTAACCATTTCCAAGGTCCTTGACGCACGCTTTGCTTACAATTGTCTGAAGTACATATTGTATGTGGTGAAGGAGCAAACCACCGCACCAGGTATGCTCAAAGGAAACGGAGACGGTGAATGTTGTGGGACCGCCAGCCTACTGATCTGTCTTGTCGCGTACAATTTGTCGGTATACAGTGTCCAGAGCTGAGCAGCGCTCAGGTCGCTAAATCCACGCGAGAGGGGATCACGCGATCTTTCTTGTGAAATCGGCCGCCATGTCACGAACAAGCGATCACGGTATATCCGGCCAGACGCAGCGTGGCTCTCTCATGACGAGCTCGCCGGCCGGGCAGCCGTGGCGGTCCGTCTGCGCGGCTGGACGTCGACCGGCCGCCACTCACCTGATGTGGTAGCTGGGCAGCGTCAGGGTGCCGTCCGCGAAGGCGTCAAAGTGCGTCTCGTCCCTGGCCTCGGGCGGCGAGACGCCCTGGTACACCTTCCTGTCCAGCCCGGCATACGGTTACACCGACACTGAAAACACGCCGGGCTCCGGTGCCCACCCGCTCACACGCGCCCATCCCTCGCGCGCGCCCATCCACGGTCAGTTGACTTTGCGCTCACAGCGTCCATCCCGCGGCCGTCCCTGGACAGCGGACATGTGCACCACTGTCTGGTGACGGTGTCAGGAACCAACAAGTGCGCGCTGACAGCCGCCGATGCTGGAGGTGTGGCGCGGACGGGTCGACAACTCACTTGTACTCCCACCATTTGTTGTTGTACTCCGACTCGGGGACCGATCCAGTCATGACATCCGCCTGCCAGCGCAGGGCCGCCATGGAGGCGGCGATCCGCGGCAGCAGCTGGCAACACAGAGCCGGGTCAGCAGGGCACCGGCTCCAGCTCACCAGGGACATCGGCTCCAGCCCACCAGCGACACCGGCTCCAGCTCAGCAGGGACACCAGGCTCAGCTCAGCGGGGGCACCGGATCCAGCTCAGCTTGGACAACGACTCCAGCTCAGCAGGGGCACCGGGTCTAGCTCAACAGCACATGGTCCGGGCAGGACAACCAGCTGGGCAAGGGCACCAGATGTGGTTTGAAAAGGGTAAGAAAGTCGGTGTCTGCGGGAAAATGTCAGCAGGTCAAGATGGCCACAGAGACTCGAAGAAGTCGGAGCAAAGAGGGGTCAGCAGGACAGAGTGGTAGGATCAGAAGGGCAGAGCCAGCAGAACGGGGTCATTAGGACATAGCAAGTCGGACAGGATGAGCAGGCGGTGTGAGCATGCCGGAGTCAGCAGAGACAGGTCAAGGCAAACTAGGATATGAACGGAGTCGCACGACTACGGACGGTGGTAAAGAAGAAAGTGTGCGGCATGACGGAGTCAGTAGGGACCGGGGCGTCCATTGCTGCACAAGAGCAGCCAACGCGACCACGTGCGCATGGTAGACCACAAGCACACAATACGCTGCGTGTCTTGCAAAGAGCAAACCGAAAAAGACATGAAGACATGAAGCCATGTCATGTTTGGGTATCCCTACAGCAGGCCGTCCGACAGATAGTCAAGATGTTGACCGCTCGCTTGGCCGCGTCGTCCGGCACGGTTCGAGCTGTCACATCCGTCACAAGGGCTGACAGGTGCGACGGAGCCAGTCGCACGGCGAGTACTCTGACTGCGGGCCGCCCTGCCCTGCTGTGTCGCCCTGCCCACCTTGAGCATGTGGGCCATCTGGAGGTTGAGCTGCGTGCCGTTGTTGTCGCTCAGTGACTGGAAGCCGAGCATACTGCTGAGACCCCGCGGCGATATGGCGGCCAGCGCACGAGCGCCGCCGATGGCCAGGTCCAGCCCTGCCGCCGGCGAGGCAGGCGTGACAGACGTGACATGCGTGACAGGTGTCACAGGCGTCACAGGTGTGACAGCAGGTGTGAGAGATGTGAGATGCGACAGGCGTGGCCGGTGCGACAGGTGTGACAGCAGGTGTGACAGATGTGACAGATGTGGCAGGTGTGACGGGTGTGACAGCAGATTCGAGAAATGCGATGTGTGTGACAGGTGTGACAGCAGATGTGAGAGATGTGACAGATGTGACAGGAGTGGCAGATGTGACAGGAGTGGCAGATGTGACATGTATGACAGATGTGACAGGTGCCACAGGTGTCACAGATATCACAGGCACTCAGCTGAAACCCGGAAACGCAGCGCTTATCTCTACAATCTCTTAATTTCAGGGCTGCTGCCCCTGGTCAACTGGTCCAGGCTTGAACCCCTTCGAGACCGAGTAATCGAACAAGAGGCCACAACCTCAGGTGCGTGACATGCGTGAGATAAGAGGCCGCGCTGAGCGTCGACGCGCTGAGTATGGCCGGCTCTCGCCTGATGGCCTACCGTAGCCGCGGAAGCCCTCTCTGTCCTTGTATGGGAAGCCGAAGTTGTCGGCGAACATTGACTGGGCGCGCTCGTTGAACTTGTGCACGGTGCCAGACAGCTCCACCAACTCGATGTAGTCGGACAGAGTGGTGTTGGTGGGGTAGATCGCTCTGCCGAGGAATAAAGACGGCTCAAATGACGACACGGACGGCAGTGTGTACGGGCGGCAGTCCAACTTCAAAGCAAGCGTGAGGGCTGAGCGACACGCTTCATAAATCTGCTCTTCACGTGGATACAGACTGATAGTCGAGAGCCAGCCAAGAGTCAGTCTGTTACGCGTCACCTTCTACTCCATCCGTTAAATCACGAAGCTACAAGAGACGGATTGGTTTGTTGGAACTGCAATACCTCCCAGTGATCAACGTCAAAGGCGTGTTCCGGCAAACACTGCTAGATTAGCGCCGCCGCGAGACTTCCACGCCGGCAAAGCGGAGCTCAAAGCGACAGACTCACATGGCTATCTGCTTGCGGTAAGTCGAGTAGCAGCGATCCAAAACACGCGGCAGGAAGAGCACGCTGTCGCTGCCAGGTGCAGCCACGTTCAGCTTCGAGTACATGGCGTCATCAATCAGGGTGCCGTTCAGACCGAGTCGCGTGTACAGGATGCCGGTCGCCCTCCTCAGGTCACGCACCTCGACGTTCTGCAAATAAGTTATGGCAAGTACAGCCACCACCACCCTGAGCCGTTATAAACGAGACATGATAAACAGATAAATCAACGGCAAGCACGCAAGTGCGAGTGCCAAAAATGACAGGAAGGCGAAAAAACAGTCCCAAAAGAAACCATCTCTGTGGGCTGGATTACGGGGCCTGGCGACCGCCGTGTGCGCACAGGTGCGTCTGCTGGCCAGTGACATAGTCAATGAGTGATGCTGGTCAGTGACATAGTCAGTGAGTGATGCTGGCCAGTGACGTAGTCAGTGGGTGATGCTGGCTAGTGACAAAGTCAATGAGTGATGCTGGACAGTGACATAGTCAATGAGTGATGCTGGCCAGTGACATAGTTAATGGGTGATGGTGGCCAGTGACATAGTCAATTAGTGATGCTGGCCAGTGACATAGTCAATGTGTGATGCTGGACGGTGACGTAGTCAATGGATGATGCTAGCCAGTGACGTAGTCAATGGGGGATGCTGGCCAGTGACAGTCAATGGCTGATGCTGGCCAGTGACGTCTGCTGGCCAGTGACATAGTCAATGGGAGAGGCCTCTGGAACCATGCCCTTCCGGGGGCCAGAGAGAGGTCTCTAGGGCCAGGCTTCTAAAACATCAAAGAATGATCTTTGAGGCCTTGGTAAAAACAGGGCCGCGATAGGGTTAGAATGGGGTCCGTTGGCTGAAAAAGCCCCCTATGCACCGCTTTGGCCCCTCCGGAGCGAAATCCTAGCTGCGTCGCTGCTAGTTTCTGTCGGGGTCGCGCCAACTGACGTGGTCCATGCAGCGCCGGTGGAAGTCGAGCCGGCTGGCGTTGGCGACGGGCTGCAGCAGGTGCTCCAGCGGGCTCCAGTCGTCCGCCTCCAGGCTGCCCAGCAGGTGCGCCGGGATCGCGCCGCGCTCTGGTACCGCATCGGAACCATACCGCTCGCGCAGTCGGTACCGCGCGTACGTGTGCAACTGCCAGTACATGGGCGAGATCTCCTTCTCCCAGATGCGCTCCAGCTGGCTGAGCAGGTCACGCATGTTTCCGTGCGCATACGGGTACATGACCAGGTCCCAGGCGTTCGATTTGGCTGTGAGGACAACGGAGGTGCGGTCACCGGCCACAGACGACCAGACGGGTGACTTTCATGGTGCTAGTGTGCACACGTCATTGTGTCATTGTGCCATCTCCCTCCTCGCGTCATTGTGAAATAGAGGAGTGATTTCAAGCGCAGCACATTTTGGATATTTACGATTTATGAGTATGAAATTAAAACGGGACCATATTTTATTCCCTTAATGAGCTTCATGTCCCAAAAGGAAACCGCGAAGCGCAGTGCGAGTCCATCCCTGAGGACATAATCTCTCCACATTCCAAGAACACCGCACGGGCACCGTAACACAGCGCAAACCACCTTCGCCTAGTTTAAACCGTGACACGGGCGTCCCTCGAACGTCGCAGATACACCATCTATCCTCTGATGGAATGGGGGTGCCAACTGCTAATACGGTCGGTAGCGGACCGGTCGTGCGTCGGGCCCGCCCGGTCGGAGCACTCACAATTGTGCAGCTTGGCGGCCGCGTCCAGCAGGCGGACGTAGGTGCCGTAGAGCCGGGGCGAGTTGCGCGACAGCTGGTTGCGCCACGTGACCCAATAGTGGAGGAGCTCGTTGCGGTTCGTGGAAGAGGCCAGCTTCACACGCACGTCTGACACGAGGCGGGGGGTGAGCGACACGGCCGAGTAGGCCAGCTTCACACGCACGTCTGACCCGAGGCGGGGGGTGAGCGACACGGCCGAGTCAGGGCGTCAGACGTCTGACACGAGGCGGGGGGTGAGCGACACGGCCGAGTCAGGGCGTCAGACGTCTGACACGAGGCGGGGGGGGGGGGTGAGCGACACGACCGAGTCAGGGCGTCAGACGTCTAACACGAGGCGGGGGGTGAGCGACACGGCCGAGTCAGGGCGTCAGACGTCTGACACGAGGCGGGGGGTGAGCGACACGGCCGAGTCAGGGCGTCAGACGTCTGACACGAGGCGGGGGGTGAGCGACACGGCCGAGTCAGGGCGTCAGACGTCTGACACGAGGCGGGGGTGAGCGACACGGCCGAGTCAGGGCGTCAGACGTCTGACACGAGGCGGGGGGGGGGGGGGGGGGGGTGAGTGACACGGCCGAGTCAGGGCGTCAGACGCTGCTCGCCTCGCCACAGCCGGCGACAGATATCGACCCGGCCGAACAGGACGCGTGGACATGCTCTCACCCGAGACGTTTAGCCTTCAGCAAGAGCGGAACTACACACGCCGAACTGGCCTGCCTGGCTTGTCGGATCTCAGACATGCGTCCGTCCCAGCCATAGGTGCACATGCGGCCTGACCAGCCGTGGGCCAGCCTCTGCACCGCTCACCCTTGTACAGATTCAGATTACAGCGGCTCTTCTCAAAGTAGTCGCAAATCTTGGCTCCGGCGAAGGTTGTCTCCAAGTTGGTCATGGCTGTCACCAGCTGAGGAGCAGCATGATGGCGTGATATTGGGAACAATGATCGAAGCCAAACATGGGCAGCGTTTTACTGGTCCTCCCTCCGGTCACAGCGCAGCATCAGAGGCAGTCGCCGAGCATAAGTCAGCTATACAGAGCTCAACCGCAGCATGCCTGTGGTAGCAGGGACCTTTAAGCAACGCATTCGTGCAGGCCGTTGAGGTTATCAGAGGCTGGACTTGATATGATATGTCACATGAGACACTTCGCTGAACGCGAACAAGACTATGTCATGTGTGTGAGTGGCAAGTTGTTCATGCTGCCGTTCATGATGAAGTTTGTGTTGTGTCATATACATCGAGTGTGGTCACATAGCAAGACACGTTTTAAACTTCAACTGATGAGGGCGGTTCGATTGTTCTGTGCTTAGTATTTCATTCGTACTGAAAGCCTCCATTCCCAACCCAGCCCCACTCGCATTGAAAACGGAAATAAATCCAGTCGAAGAACTGGCGAAATATCAGCGTGTTCACCGGTTCATCTCAGCCAACTGATCGCCCTCGGTCTCTCAGCCAGCTGATCGTGCCTGGCTCGCTCCGGCAACTGCTGACCCCCTCCCCCCCCCCCTCCCCTGACTCCCTTCAGTCAGCTGCTGACCACTCTTAACTCACCTCAGTCAGCTGCTGACTACTCCCGACTTACTTCGTCAGCTACTGAACACCCTCAATTAACCCCAGTCAGCTGCCGACCACCCTCGACTTACTTCACGCAGATCTTGGTCGCTCAGCATCGAAACTCCGCCATGCTTGAGCACCATGAACAGCTCCACCAGGTCAGTTCGGTCGAGCGAAGACAAGTCCAGGTTGGTGGCGTTTGTGGCGAATTCACGCCACAGCCTGAGGTATTCGACCTCGGCATCCACCTGGACGAGACGGACACGACAGACGCCGGTAATGGGGTCCAGTCGCCGCGACACCACCGGTCACCAGGCGACACGCGCAGCGCGATGGCTGCTGTCGCCACCACGCCGCAAAATCAGGCACTTTATCTGGTGGAAGATGTTGACATGTTGCGTCGTGTCAAGATATTGCAACATTTTCACATATTACGCAATGTCAATATGTTATACGTGATGTCCTTAAGCCCGTCTGCTAGCCCACGTCCTGCGAGGGTGGGAGGATGGAGTTCAGAGGCCCCTCTGTTTTCCAATATAGATTTTGAACGGAAAATTCGGATCGGTAGCACGGAGCTTAAGTTATGGGCACCCGAGTTTACATTACGGCAACACATCATAAAATAAATCTAAAGCTCCTAACAGTAGCGATTCGTGCGCCCGGGGGAGCTGGAAGAATCCCCTTCACTCGGGTGGGGGTCAGTTTGACCCCTGAGATCACAAAAATCAAGAGAGCTAGAAGCATCAAATTCACACGGTGTATTGGTCTGTATGTGAGCGCACTGGTGTCAAAATTTAACAATCCTAGATCATGACGTTTGGGTCGAAAGGGTCCAAACAAGGTCAAACTTCAGATTTATGTCCAAAGTGTCCCCAGAACCTACGAGCCTCCTCTAAGCAAAAGGCCTCCGGTACTCATTGAAGGTCAGTGACCTTTTTCTACCTTTCGCAGGTCATGTTGACCAAAATTATACAAGACTGCTCTGAGAGGCATTTAAACAAACGTCGATTACTATTACACTGGGTGGCATGTTGCTAAAAACGAAATGTTGACCTGGGTCATTTTAGGTCAGTGACCTGTTCTGACATTCAAAAGGCCTATTAGAGATATATACTGCGATTCCTGTTATAAAGATATTCGAAATGAACACTAGACACCATCTCATGCAGCAAGCTCTAGAGCAACAAAGCAGGTTAGCTTTGGCCTCGGTCTGACCTTTATACCTGACGCTAGGCCAATTAAATTTGTTCCTTCAATTGCCATGATGTCTAAGAAACTGTCACAAAGCTGTATAACTTCGTCTAAAACTCCGTTATTGAATCATATTAAACGATTCCCTAGACATCGTGGCCACTGAATCCATGACCCGCCCTTGACCTATGATAGGTCAGCAACCCCGCAAGGTACATCTAAATTTTTGATACCAAACGACCTGTTATTCAATTTTCTACAGCTCATAAAAATTTGGTGCGGTTACAGCGCGCCACTCGGAAACCATTCGAAAACCGCAAAAAAAGAATTGTGGGGACAAATTGACCCTCCTTTGAGCGCGCGTTGACATCGTTTTGGTGGTTTTGTAGAATCAGGTCATCCTAGGTCAGACGGGACAAGCTCAAACTTAGGAAGTACATTTCGCCGTTTAAAGGTTATACGAATTAAGACATAATGGCGCATATCTAGCAGTACAATAAGGTCGTTCTTGCCCCGTTTTCTCCATTGATGTGGCATATTCAGTCATTGATATAGACAGACGTGTCAATCCAAAACTCACCTTCACCCCTTTGACCTGACGTGACTCGTCACAACCCACATGTGTCGGTGTTCACTAGTGTGTATCTGAGAGTTTTCGAAGTGTTGTCCAGCGCAGTCTTCCGCATTGTTGCAGCATGCAACAATGCGGAAACACTCTTGAAATAACAGAAAGGATCACAAAGTGACTGTTTGACCACTTTGACCTGTCTTGACCTGCCAAAGGTCATATCTACCTTTTTCGAATGTGCATATGTAATGCAAGTTGATAAATGTTTTCCAGCACTGTTTTTTTGCGTGGCTCTATCTTGATTAGTTTTTGACATGTAAAGGAACAATGCCACCTTTTTGTACTTTTTACTTATTGTTATATCAGACACGTTCGGTTTGATGTGTAGTGCTAGTTTTCTCGAAATCTTGAAATACTTGAAAGAAACACCAGACACTTGCAAATGAAGTGAGATCAAGGCTGAAATTACGGCTCAAGATCTTTCCTAGCCTGGAGGGAGTTGGCGTCATTCCAACGACGGCTACCAGCGATTTCGATTCCTTGCGTTAGTCAGAATGAGACAATCTTGCCGAGGGAGCAATGACTGGCACGCCCAGGCTACTGCAGAGGCTTGGCCTGGGCAGAGTTATGTCGTGCTCCAGGCGAGACGCGGGCAGCTAGAACAGGCCTCCGCCAGCAGGGTAATCCGCTCTTGCTCGGCCAACGTTCAGACGGCGATGACTTTGACCTGATTGTAGCCCACTTCCCCGCCAGACGTGTTTATCGGCATCAGTCTCGCATGTCAGTCTCGCTGCGCCGGTATGGCGTGATGTCAATTTCGCTGCGCAGGTATGGCATGATATCAATCTCGCTGCACCGGTATAGCTAAATGTCAGTCTCGCTGCGACGCTATACCTAGATGTCAGTCTCGCTACACCGTTACAGCTAGATGTCATTCTCGCTGCGCCGGTATGGCATGATATCAGTCTCGTTGCTCCAGTGTAATTGGATGTCAGTCTCGCTGCGCCGGTATGACATGGTGTCAGTCTCGCTGCGCCGGCATAGCTGGATGTCAGTCTCGCTGCGCCGGTATGGCTAGATGCCAGTCTCACTGCGCCAGTATGAAATGATGTCGGCCTCGATGCGCTAGTAGGTGTCAGTTTCGCTGCGCCAGTATAGCTGGATGTTGGTCTCGCTGCGCCGGTATAGCTAGATGTCAGTCTCGCTGCGCCGGTATGGCATGATGCTAGTCTAGCTCCGTCAGTATGGCATGATCTTCATGCGGCTGGAGTGGCTTTGGCAAACAGGAACCAGCACTGTTCCAAAGGAATGTTTCACACTTGAAGATATTGAAGCAAGCATCAGATCTGATGAAATATGCTCACTTATAACTGCTAGTATGCTTTTAAGTGGAAAATCCTGCACTAAGCAATAAACTTTCTCCGCTTAGTGAACATACTTTTTATTACGTCATTGTTTTATGAAGTCATCGTATTTTGCACAACGTTGATGTTGTGTCAATTAACGGTCGTTGTATCTGGAAACCCTGCTCAAAATGTCCGATATGAACGAATTGACAATGTCATTTTTCCAGGTCTTGATCGCCGCATGACCAATGGAATGGCGAGATTTGAATGACATGATGGCATCATGAATTCCTGGATGACCTTGCAACAGCTTCCTCGAAAAGTCTGCACATCTTTGTGGGAGTGTAGCTCAGAATCCAGAAGAGTTGAGGCGCAAAGAAAGACAGGGCTGTGAAATGCACCGAATTATCCTCAAAATGACTATGTCAGTTCAAGCCCCCTATAAACTTTGAACACTTCCTTGAAGGAAGGTGCAGTGGGCGGTGCAACAGCTCCCGCGTTGGGCTTGTTCAAATTATATGGGGGGAAGGGGAGGGACAAAGCACATAGGAATTTAGGCAATATGGTCACTGTGACACTTGTTCAAATCATGTGGAGGGTGGTACGCCTTAGGATCTGGGCGAGATGGCCACTTCAGTCGTGGGTGCCACGTAAGGAGATGCACGACCACGCGCGTCGCGCTACCTTTGAAAAAAACTTCCATGATGATACAGCCTGGTAGCTACCGACCCCTTTCCAGCAGGTCTTTCAAAAAACATATCGAACTTTTCGGCACATCGTCATGAAACTGAGACCTGATAAGAGTGTACACGAAAAACATCCAAAATTAGCACTTTTCACCAGGCCAGTTCGCTTCGATAGGACCTCACTTCCCAAGGGATAAAAAAGGAAACTAGAGCTCCGCATGGCCTACTTCGTATTTCCTACGCCACATCCTGCTGTCAGGCAGTTCTGAGGGTGCTAAGTTGTATGTCATGAGCATGACTGGCAGTGTCGTGCCATAGGCACGGCATCATAAGCGTGTCTTATTAAAAGTCAGTTAAGTTGAGTTGAGTTAAGTCTTGAAACATGCTCAAAGTAATAGAAATGCAACTTCTACAGTACACCAACAGCACTGATGTACATTCCTGTGGTAAGTTCAAGATCATGCAATTCATGGGACGATCCCAGACGACTCATTGCTTCCCGTTGCAAACAAATGTTGTAGGAAGTGTTGCATGCTTTAACTTGGACCAATCCTGTTCTGTGGGAAGACGAAGGCTGCGTCGGGACGGTACAAACATGACTCGACGTTGTGTGCTCCGTTCTGGCAGGTGGAAAAACATGACCGTGTCGTAAGCAGACGTTCTGCACACGCATCGGAGCATCCTTGACGACAAATGGGACTGCCGACCTCTTTTTAAATTTGTGTCGTAGTGTTTTGGAAGTGGAATCGACGAAGGTCCACGATTCGAGGTGACTCCATCGATCCCAGCCCTCGCGCTGGTGGGTGGTGAAACCAAAGCTACCGAGAGCTAAAACTCCGAGCCATGATCGCGGGGTGAGTATGGGGCACCTGCCCACTCGATGTCCGCAGTACTCGACCTACCTTGGTGGGTCCCAGCGTCCGGTCGGCTGTGTAGAAGTTGTACAGATTCTGGAAGCGTCCGGTGCACACCTGCGACTCCTGTCTGGAGTAGAAGCCGAGGATCCTCAGCGCGCTGACGTCATCGATGACATCACCCGGACGGGGCACAGGAATGACGCCACCTGCGGGGCCGAGGCACGGTCAGACCAGGCCGGTGAGACTGCCGGGCCAGGACCGGGTGGACAGCACCACGCCGGACCCGTAGCGCCACGTCCTCTTTACCTCTGCCCTAATGGGGGGGAGGGGCGATGAATCCCCGTAAGGTCTATTGAAGGTACCTCTCCGGTAAAAAACAATCTAATGATATCTTCTGCTAAGCTCCTTCTTGGTTAGCGTGGAAACGACAAAGGATCGCACCCTTTCCCTTATCAGTCCGCGTGAAGAAAAACGGCGAATCGGGGCGAGGGCAAATGCATCTGGGGGGCTCATGACAAACTGTGTCGGGAAACAATGCTTAGATGTCCCGCCACAACTCGCCCGCCCACCACCAGATGACGGGGCTGTCGGGCGTGTCCCGCCACAACTCCCCCGCCCACCACCAGATGACGGGGCTGTCGGGCGTGTCCCGCCGCAGCCCACACCCCACCAGATGACAAGGCTGTCGGACGTGTCCCGCCGCAGCCCCCCCCCCCCCCCCCCCCCACCAGATGACAGGGCTGCCGGGCGTGTCCCGCCGCAGCCCACACCCCACCAAATGACAAGGCTGCAGGACGTGTCCCGCCGCAAGCTCCCACCAGTACGGAGGAGAGCTACGTGAGTCCAACCTACCGTCGGAACTGCCGCCGCCGCCGCCGCCGGTGCCGTCCTCCCGAAGGCGGCCATCTCCGGCCGTCGCTTGGCCAGCCCGCAGCCGGGGTTCGGCCGGTGCCTCCTCCGGCTCCAGATAGGTGGCCGGCTCGCCCCGGCTCGGCTCCACTTCAGGTTGCTCCGGCTCTGGCTCCGACTCCGGCTCCAGCTCCGGCTCCTCCGGCTCCTCCTCGTAGTACTCGTATTCGTCGTCGCCGGCCTCCTGGGGCACTGGCGGCGGCGGGGCCGGCGTGCTGTGGCGGTGCATGGCCTCAGCCACGCGCCGCTTGGCCTCGGGCGTCAGGCTGTGCTTGACATCCATCATGTACTCGATCGGTACCTGGCCGTCGCGCGCCATCTCCGCCACACGCTCGGCTGGCACCTGGCCGGAGTTGATTTGGTCCGCTATGGTGTCGATCGGAGGCAGGTCCTCCACGTCAAAGGCGGCGGCCGCCGCCAGCAGCGTCACCACGGCCACTGTCAGACGCATCTCGGCCCGCTCGCCAACTGCCGGCTGCCGGACGCGGACGAACTGCTCCCACCGAGTCGCAGCCGACCGGGTTCAGAGTGAGCGAGCCTGCGATCGCGCCAGTCGTCGGATACGGTGCTATCTTATCGTCGCCCGCGCACCCACACCGGCGCCCCCTGCCTCGCCCGGCGGGCAAGCGGCGCAGTGGTCAGGAGCCGGACCGGACTCCAGGGCGCGTCACTACCGGCGGGGCGGGAACGCACGCTCGACAGCTCATCGTGTGCTCAACACTGACTGGCGTGCCTCTGTCAACAGTCATCAGGCGCGTCAGATGTAAAATACGTCAACCGGAAGACAGGGAGGACAGATTGCGGTCACTTTTTAGTTCCTGTGCGCTCAATCATCAGCGTGGTTTTTCGTAATTGCGCTGGCAACTCGAGTGCCGTTTTGTAAAAAAGCGGACCATCTTTAGTCACGATGGCATCGTCAGGAAATAAAGCAGCCACGGACACACAGATTAAGTTCAAACGTTTTCACGGACGGGGCTGCAAGCATGGTGAGTCAAAACTCTCAGAAAACGGTCAATCCCAAGCGATTTTTTAACTAGTGACCACAGGTTCATGTGATCTTTGGCCTTTCTAGCACTGCACTTGGACATCTCGAGTCGCATGTCGCGTTTTGTGGACCTCTTCTTGCTGGATTCCCACAAAACGTGGGCTTTGCAACGCACTGACTAAACCCGGTGTCGTTTGCTGTAAGTGCCTGGCTCCAAAAGCTAGTTAAGTTTATGGGATCATCTTCATAACAGCTGAGCTCAAAACTGTCACCGCCTTGCTCGTCCCAATCCGCACCACGCGTCTTGCTGCTAGTACGAGCCGCTGCACACTTCAAGAGCAACAAGAGCTTGTCACAGAGCTTCTGTATTTCACAAGTTACTCCATTCTCGCTTTTAAGCGAGAGGACGATGTCAGATGCGGGCGGCCACTACACCAACGGACTTTCTGACGCCTTTTACAAAGTTCAAATGTTGGCACCTCATAACCTTACCCCAAACGTCGTTTAGAGCTCAACATCCGGTCCCGCAGAGACGCCTGACCCGTCCAGCCTAGTACATTTGAGGCGCAGCTGACCACCACAACACCCTCAGGCACTTCGGCCAGCCGCATGCCCCAGGCTCGAATGGGCGTGCACACCACATAGTAATATCCACATGCTGGTTGCACTCCACATCCAATGGGGCACGTTCGGGCTTATTAGGGACCCAACGCTGAATCTGGGCGGTTAAAGTCGTCCGCATCGCCGTCACACGACTCCTGTACGCGTCACTTCCAGCCAACAGTGTCCAGACACAGCGGCGGCACCTGCGGCACCGGCGGCGAGGACCTCGGCATACATACGGCATACCTCGGCTGAACACACCGCAGCGGTCACGAACTCCGCTCACACGACAATGCAAGCCATAGGCACACAGTGCGACACGAACAGGAGAATCTCCCAAACACGCGCACTGCGGCACGCCGCAAGAATCATCTCGCAGTGCACGCACCGACTCATGTTAACACGCGCCCGGGTGGCTGGCTAGATACCCTTCGCTCGGATGGGGGGGGGGGGGGTAAATATGACCCCTGAAATCTCAGGAACTAAGATAGCTAAACACCAAATTCGCAGGGTGTCTTGACCTGTACGTGAACTCACTTAGGTCAAAGTTTGAGCTTCCTAGGTCATAACCTTCAGGTCAAATAATGTCAAACAAGGTCGAATTCTAGGTTGGTCTCCTAAGTGCCCCACAACCTAGGCAACTCTTTCTAAGCAAAAGGCCACAAGCCTGTTTTAGGTCAGTGACCTTGTTTGACCTTTTGAAGGTCATGGTGACCAAAATAATACAAGACTGCTCTGAGTTTTGCATTTGAATAAGCGACAAAGATTACGCTAGGCAGCATGTTTCTAAAACAAAATGTCGGCTCGGGTCATCCTAGGTCAATGACCTGTTCTGACCTCTAAAAAGTCAATGGAAGGTATATCATGCGATTCCTGCCGCAAATAAATTCGAAATGAGCACCAGAAAATATCACATACAGTAAGCCCTAGAGCAATAAATCCGTTGGTTTTGCCCTTGGTCTGACCTTTATATCTGACCTTCGGTCAACGTAATTTGCTCATTCAATATTTTTAGCGCCTAAGAAAGCATCTCAGAGATGTATGGCTTCGCCAAACACTCGTTGTATCAGATTGAACGATTCCCTAGGAATTGTCTTCGCTGAAACCATGGCCTGACTTTGACCTGCCATAGGTCAGCGACCTTACCAGGCACATCTAAATTTTGTAATATCAAACGATCCGCTTTTCAATTGTCTACTGCTATGCAAAATTGTGCGCGGCCACGCCGCGCCGTTCGGAAACCATCCTGGAAAAACCTTCTGTGGGTCAATTTGACCCCCCCCCCAACCGACCGTGTTAAAAAAATAAAAACGGGTCACATGTTCGGCTCCAGGCTGATCATGTCTATGCTCACAGCCAATTCTATTGCACGAGGGTCGCAGAGCCTGGGAGGACAGACTGGCTGTGCCGCAGGTGAGCACGCAGCGCAGCTGGCAGATGCGCAGTGGGCGCCGCGTCCTCCGATGAGTGGCCGGCGCGGCCGCGACCGGTGTCACGCCCGCTCCTCAGAGCTGACCTGGCACGCGGCCAGGAGGCGCGCCGGGTCACCAAACACCGTGTCTAGGTAGACACAGGCTCTCTCCGGCACCTGTCGGCCACGGACGCGACTCACACACCGACACAAGCGACGGGCACCCCGGACGACAGGTCTGCAGTCGGCCTCAGTCCCGGTCCTCAGTCGGCTGGCCAGATGGTTACAAGGCCGACACACAGGCCGGACCAACGCAAATCACACGGCTGAGCTGCACGCACACGCGCGCGCACGCACGCACGCATTCGTTTCACATGTTGGTCGGCTCCTCAGCAGCTAGTCGCAGCTGACAGATGTCCACCCGCCCGACGTGGATACGGACGTCTCACCGTCGCTCCGGCCGAGGCCCGCTTCCGGTCGAACCGAACGCCGCCGTCCGACGTCACGCTGCCCCACGGCGTCACGTCCGCGGTCACATCAGTGGTGTTATCGTAGCCCAGCCAGCCGGCGATGACAGCGGATGGGAGGGTGCGCCCGGCGCCACCGTACGCCGCCGCCAGCGTCGATAGCGCGCGTCTGGGGACCGGGTTCGTCAATGCGGAAGCTCCCGGCCGGAGGGCACCGGTCAGGTCACAGAGGGAAGGCGCGCCCAGTAGCCACAGGTCATAGCACGACCGAGCGCTGGATGACACTGAATGGGCCACGCATTATGGCAAAGGAGCGCCTACCAAGGGTCCCAGCAAGAGGCGCACCCGGCAGCCACAGGTCACAATATGACAGGTCACGACACAACCGAACGCTGCATGACGCTGGAAGGGCCACGCATCACAGCAGGGGGGGGGGGGGGGGGCTATCAAGGGTCACAAACCACAGAACAGAGACGCGCCCGGTCGACGGTTCCTCTCCAGTTTCTGAATAACCGCCAGCGGAAGGGACCGCACGGCCACCAGGACTGTTAGACGGAGCACAGGGGCTTCCGCGTCCAGGTCAGCGGCCACCAGGACTGTTAGGCGGAGCACAAGTGCTTCCGCGTCCAGGTCAGCGGCCACCGGGACTGTTGGGAGCACAGGGGCTTCCGCGTCCAGGTCAGCGGCCACCAGGGCTGTTAGGCGGAGCACAGGTGCTTCCGCGTCCAAGTCAGCGGCCACCGGGACTGTTGGGAGCACGGGGGCTTCCGCGTTCAAGTCAGCAGCCCGCTCAGGACCTCACGGAGGGACGTGACGATGAGACGACAATCGGCAGTCCGGTGCAGAGAACGGACCAAAATGGCCGGATGTGAGCCGACTTTTGCCGCAGGCATTAACCGTCAACCCAGATGTCCGCTTAAAAAGACGGAATGCTGGAGGTTGATAGCCCATGGCAGAAAGTATTATCACGGCCACGTCGGTTTAAGGACAGGAATCAGCCACGCTGATGTGTATCTACAACTAACTGGCCTCAGGGCTGACATGCCTGTTTCCCCTGCTACCCACGCCCTCATCCCCAATATTTCTATCACGGTGTTCGGGATGCAACAACGGAACTCCGGTCGGGAACGCAAACACTGCCTGGAAACCAAACCCAAGCCCGAATCATAACGTCAACACCTGATTACCAGAATATGACATCATCACTGCTGGCATCACCATGGTCTCCCACTTCCCTAGTTCCGATCGTACTTTCCGTGACCGCTCACCACATCGCCTTTTGCTTGTGAAAAGCCTCCGTTGGCAAAAACAGCGATAGGCGCTAAACCGTGTCGCGCGACAAGGCCGGACACGCGAGCCCGTGTCACTGGCGGATCCGTGCTGGTCCCAGCAGCCGGACACGGCCAGCGGCGGCGGCTCGTTGTTGGTCTCTGTCGTCCCGAGCGGCCACGTCGGCGGTGCTGCCACGCCCTGCACCCACGTGCTGTCGGTGGCAAGCGCACCGGCCGGCCGCAATCTCTGATTCACCGGCGGTGACCAGGAACGCAAACAGGCGTTATCTGCGGCGACCTGAGGCCACTGTAGGCGACCGAGCCACCGTCTATCGAGCCGGCCGGCCGGCCGTCCGCTGGCACGAAACACTGGCAATACTGGGACACCAGGTCAGCGCCACCAGAGTCCAGTCGGGTAACAGCTGTCAGGCAGTGCCGCAGGCAAGCGCGGTGAATGTCTGCCCGTCACACCAGCTCAAATATGGGCGCCATTCACAGCAGTTTAAGATGATGCGTGAATGGTCTTTGGAACGTTCTACACTAGATTGTGCTTGCTACTTGGCCCTCTGGTTTCAAGCTTACAGGCTTGGCTTTGGCCTCGCGTTTCCTAATTCGAGGTCGCTGGCTTCGGCCTTTGTATTGCATCTGCAGTCCGAAGCTACTGGCTTTGACTTCAGCTTCGCAGTTCCCAGCTTCGAAGCCATCGGCTTCGGT